GGGAGCAGAGTGAACAAACAGGAGCTTTGGAATGCAGGCTTTGTAGTACAAGATGGGGTGATCCCTGGTTTCCTTGGGGGGATGTGATTGGCTTCTTTGAATAATTCTGTGGGCAGGGAAGGAGGTGAAACCCCTTAGGTTGAAGACCAGGTGGAGTGCAGCTAGTCCAGCTGGTGGGGAACTAGCCAGTGGGGATCATTTACTGCTGTGTGGGAGGCATATATGGCAAGAGCAGGGGAGCCCATGGTTAGGCCTTTGGGTCCCTGCAAGGCTCAAAGATCTCAAGGCAACACAGGAAGTTTTAGGCCTTGCTGCTCACTCTGTCAACTTAGAAAAAAAGGCATAGTTTTTAGGAAAGAACTATGTGTATCTGTGTCCTCAACTCTGCTCTTTATTCATGTCCTTTTTTTTTCTTTTTTGTTTTAATCTCAGCGATATACATTTCTCCTCCAGTTTATCTCTAAGGGAAAAAAAAATCCCAGAAATACCTTTGACCATGCAGCACACCAGCTGGACTTGATCACATATCGGTAGTGGGACTAAAGAGACATCAGGTAGCAAGCAGAGTCTGTACTGCTTCTCTTACGTGCTTCTGACTTTCTTATGCTACAACCCAGTAGATACCTCAAGCTCAGCTCGCTCACTCTCCTCTGTAATCACCTGGATGCTTATGTCCTCATTATGCTTTAGTTTATCTTTTCAGCCACTGGAACAGTCTGAAAAGCATTGGTGTTGTCTTCTACTTAGACTTTGAATGAAATGTGCTTTTTACTATTAGGAGAATTTGAGGAAGTTTGTAAGTTCAAAAGTGTATAAAAGTAGAGTATTTCACTATATTCATATTTTTATGGGGACGGGATAAATACCAACCAAGAAAACTCTGCAGGTGTTAATCATTCATCCTTACTGCTATCAAACCACTTATTTTGTCTTGCCTTGTACAAAATACCTGGGAGATCGAAGTCTACAAGGTCAGAGGGAAATCAGTAAATACCTATGACAAAAATAGAAGTGGATAGAACATTAAATTTCCCTTAAGTTAGACACTTTGAAATTTAAAATACAGACTTTCACAGAACACTTGTACATTTGAGTAATTTTCAGCCAATTGTATGAATTCTCCCATGAAATGTGCTGATGCACTGAGCTTTCCTGGCAGTAGGAACTATGCCAGAGATGAAAACTGGCATCCTTAGGATCAGATACATTTGGCGGACGTTTGTGTAGCTCATTCATTGTTTTTAAGAACTGAATTCTCTGCCAGCTTTAAAAATTTAGATTTTTATGTAGAAATATGGATTTCCATATTATTTTGAAAAATTAAGATCTGGTATCACAGTGCAATCTCTTACCCTCCAGTTTATTCCGTGCCCCACCCTCCAGTTTCATTTGAATTTGTTTATCTGCAGAATCACTACTTCATAGGAGGGTTTTGTTTAGTGATAGAGGTAAGTAAATAGAAACAAGATGAAGTCATCCTTAACCTTTTTGATAGATTGTTTGCAAAACAGCAAAAAAGACTCCAAGTCTGGCGTCTTTTCAGCTACCGTTTTACGATGTAGCTTTCCTGGGTGCAATGGGCGACTCACAATCACCAAGAAGACGCCAGGCTGCTGTCTAGGAGACTGGGTCCGCAGAAGCTGTGATTTCAGCTGTGAAGCGGGCTGAGCCCCAGGAAGGCGGCGTGGAGAGAGGTAGGCGGCCCGGCGGCCCGACGGCGGGGTAGGGAGGGAGAAAGGGCTGGGGACCGCGAGCCAGGCTGCAGGAGAG